CTGTGAACATCATCTGGCTAAACTTCAGGCACACACCATAGAGCAGATGAATCACAACAAAGCTACGGCACTCATCTCGTTGGACTGCAGCCAGGCCTTTGACTGCGTGTCTCACGCGCTGTTACTTCGAAGACTGGAAGAGTACAAATTCCCAGCCCCGCTATGCCGTCTGGTCAGAAGCTACCTCAGTGGAAGAACTTTCGTCGTAAGAGTTGGTAATGACTATTCGAACCCAGTCGATACAACGTGTGGAGTACCTCAAGGGTCTGTGTTGGGGCCATTACTGTTCGTCGTTTTCACGGCGCCAGTAGTGGCACTTAAACATCCAGAAGCGGTGGTAGCAGCCTATGCTGACGATATCGCAGTCTATGCATCCAGCCTTAACGCAGAGAGAGCTCTCATGAAAGCACAGAATGCCACAGATACCATCGTAAAGGAGCTTGAGAAGAACGGCATACAGGTAAATCCTAATAAGACAGATGCCATAGTGATGTCATTTCAGCAAGGAAAGAAGCCCCTGCCCACTCACTTCACCATTGGTGGAGTGGACCAGCGGATCTCCAACTCAGTCCTTTACCTAGGCGTGACTCTGGATAGGCACCTCACCTTTACTAGTCACGTCAACCAGAGGCTCAAGCTGGCTCGGAAAAAGGAGTATAGGCTCTACCATCTGCTAAAGTCGGCGCAGCTCTCGTTGAGACTAAAACTGCAAATCTACAAGGCGGTCATCAGGCCTACGCTGCTCTATGGTGCACCGTTGCTCCGCCACCTGTATAAGTCCACGCTCAAGAAACTCCAGAGTTATCAAAACTCCATCCTTCGGCGAATAGTCAGAGGTACCACCCTGCAAAGGGCAAAGAATGTAAAGATCCGAGAGGAGCTTCAGCTCCCATCGGTGCCTGAGTTCATAGGCCGAAGACACGTCAAATTTTTCGATGGGCTGAAGGTCTGTGCTAACCCGCTTTTCCAGGAAATAGTACCGCCGCCCAGGCCTGGGAGGTGGCAAGGTAAAGTCCCCTTGGTTGATGTTCTCGCCGAGGGAAGGGGTTTGGACTCTGTAGTTCACACCCACTAACAATAATATAAATAATAAATTAATGCAGGGCGGTCCCTCCACGCCCAGTGGTATAATAAAAGGCCTCTGGCCACAGATGCAAAGAACGCATACAGCGTGCAGAGCCCTCTTAACTTAAAATGTCCTTGGGCAATAAAAGTAAAGTTGAAAATTTATGTATATATACATTTATATACATACTGAATTTATTCAAGAAATTCCTGGGGGGTAGGAAAAAAAAAAAAAAAAAAAAAAAAAAAAAAAAAAAAAAAAAAAAAAAAAAAAAAAAAAAAAAAATAATAAACCTCTTGAAAGGTAATTAAATTACCAACAAAATAAAAATAAAAATCATCGGAATCGAACCAGTATTAGCGATGATAGAGCTATTCAATTTCCAATGTATGATTACGGGTACATATCCTGATGACAGAAAGGAATGAATGAGAGAAAAAAGATAACTAAGTGAAAGTAAGCAAATCTGTTGCCGGTATCACACAAGCTTCACTATTTCCTCTACTTTTAACAGAAATTATTGTTTGACAAAATTAGGCTATGGGAAAAAGTTTTTGATCAACAATATTAGAGGGTATTGGAATTTTCACACTGATCTACCTTAAGCCGGTTTATATTGCTTTAGTTTGTCATATAAATCGTACTCAAATCTTTGACTAATTTTCAGGAAAATAATTTAATTCAATTTTTTCGTTTCTTTATGGACGTATTTAAAGATATAAAAACTTTTCTGAAATAGGAAGGAAAGCCGTGTGAGTGGACCCACAAGATTTTTCTTGTTCAGCGATTTTTCATTTAGATAAAATTCTCCGGAAGCTTCATGAATTCAAGACCAATAATACAATCATTATGTATTCCTTTTCCAATATGTATTCTGAGAAATCTATAACAATCAGTACGATGGATACGCGTACTTTTCCACCCTTCAACATGATAAAATGATTCGCTTACTCCCAACACTGGACAAACTATAATATAGAAGAGGGGATGGTATATAGTGCACTATATATATTCCATAACCCTTTATAGGATCTGAGAGCTTCTCTCGGTGCAGAATAGTGTCCCCTTAAGGAGTTCGGTGTGCCCCATAAATATCCGGCCTTGGGTCCCGGCTGGGCCAATCCAATCAGCCCTCGGACTTACTAGGCCTCTACGTCACATTAACTTAGTCGCTTCGCTTCCGTCAATCCGGTTTGGGCTATTTAGTTGAGACTGTTAGTCGAGTAGTTACCAGCTTATAAACAGCCAAATCCATAATGAACTTTATGTATAAGGTTCACACTACATCATATTATACTTATCCTTTAAGGAAACAAACCTGACAAATAATATTGAAAATAACACCGTGGCTTAGCTTTGACAGAAGAATGATTTAATACCAACACGAAAAAATGACTGAAGTAACATGAAATGTGAAATTTACATAGGATGGTTACGGAGGTAGCGATACCCGGTGGGAAAATATTTGATTCGTGTGCGAGGGTTCTTGGAACAAGAAAAAAAAGTTTACATTTGATTATATTATTGCTTTATTTTCTTTGATCTGCTTGGATTTCAAGGTTAATGTCACTACATAAATAAATTTACTTTTTTGCTTAAAATAAGAATGAAAATCGTCTGGTTAGGAATTTTTTTTTTTGACAAATTAGTAAATTATAATTAGTAAATTATAGACCACCCTGATTCTTACCGCCCAATTAGTCTTCTACCTTCTCTATTTAAAGTATTCGAAAAAATTCTGTTTCGGCGTTTAAATTCACATAGACTATTTGATGCCATTCCAAATTTCCAGTACAGGTTCAAAGAGCATCATTCGACTATTCAGCAATGTTACCGCCTTATAGATTACATATCTTTCTCGCTAGAATCAAAATTGTACTGTCCTGGCGTTTTTCTTGACATGAGTCAGGCTTTTGATAGAATATGGCACGATGGTTTGTTACATAAATTAAAAACGATCATTCCTCCAACGTATTACTTAATTTTACTATCATATCTAAAAGATAGATTTTTCCGTGTGAAAATGGGGACTGAGTTTTCTGTCATCAAACAAATAAAAGCTGGAGTACCTCAAGGCAGTGTCTTGGGTCCAACACTTTTCAACATTTACTGTGCAGACATCCCACAACATTCTGAAACACTGTTGGCTACATTTGCTGATGACTCGGCAATATTAACATCTAACAAGGATGCAGCAAAGGCTTCTCAGGTACTTCAAGAACACCTAGACGACATAGCTTGTTGGGCTGAAAGGTGGAGAATAAAAATGAACGAGTCTAAGAGTCAATTTGTTTCATTTACACTTAAACATAACTCTTGTCCTCCAGTGTTCTTTAATAATATTGCTCTTACACCTTCAAAAAACTGTACGATATTTGGGTCTCCACTTAGACAAACGACTGACATGGACATACCACATAAAACAAAAAAGAAAAGAACTTAATCAGCGATACGAACTTCTTTCTAGGCTACTTGACAGACGTTCTAAATTATCTGTGACTAATAAATTAACTATTTACAAAGTTCTCATTAAACCACTATGGACATATGGGATCGAACTATGGGGAACAGCAAAGAAATCAAATATGAAATCATTCAGTCATTCCAGTCAAAAGTCCTTCGGAAAATTGTAGATGCACCCTTTTACGTTTCAAATCTCACGTTACACACTGACCTTAACACTCCTTTCATCACGGCAACTGCCACTGACCGCTTTAATAATTTTCATGACAGACTGACTCTAAATTGCAATCCACTTACTCAAGCTCTATCTACTGCCACAAATCCATATAATCCGCTCAGATGACTGCTGGGGCGGTGGCCAAGAGACTTATTGCATTGAGCTACTTGCTGCATTATCTTTTTTGTGTGTGTATTTGTTATTATGTTATAATGTATGTGTTATTTTACTTTTTTTTTGTCCTGTTATTCTTGTCCTTAATATCATATTTGCTGAATACTAAGGTAGATGGCAAATTTATTGTGAGCCACAAATATGTACAACTAATAAGATAAAACAAATTTGACAAATAGCTATATACTGAATTAAAAATTTAAACTGTTTTTAACACTCAAAGAAGCAAAATGGGTTGAATTTTTTTTTATGAGCAACAAAGTTAAGATTTTTCGAAAAAACTTTGAATAGGAATCCCATAAAAAAATCCATTACAGTATAAAAAAAAAAGGTAAACTAAATAATAAAAAGTTTTATTATGAGGATTAATATTTAAATATACATTAGGTCTATATTTAAAAAAAAAAATAAGATTTATTTAAAAAATAAGAAGCGGAATATCTCAGTGACTAAGGAACTCCTTGGTGCTAGGTCACGCGAAAGAAATCAGCTGCAGGTAATCATAATACATCATATGTATATTCAGGAGCGGGGTAGCTCAGTTGTAAGGCATTAATTTTCCAATTAAAGTCTCAGGTTCGAATCCCGGCTTATTGACCGAAGGAGACCCTCCTGGGGCACACTCAGTCTCTACGAATTGGGTACCTTTAATTAAATTGGAAAAATCTGGCGGTCGAGTATGATCTTGGCCCGATCCCCTCCCTGCACAACCGTTGGCCTTGAAACAGTACTTTCCCTAAATATTACTGAACCCAAGACCCTTCATGGGTTGTAGTGGTATAGTTTTTTTTTGTTGTATATTCAATTACATAGTTTTATATATATATATCATATAAATTTATATTAATTGAATGTTTTTATGTAATAATTTATTATTGGTATAATTGTTTATTCTGTTTCTTATTCTCAATGAAATAAGATTTTAATGAAAGTCGTACTATAATAAATGTCATTAAATAATTAATGCAGCTAGATAATACAAAAACTACACTGCTTTCTTCAGAAGTAAAGCATTTATCATGTATTTATTGTAAGATGAATATTCTGGATATATAACAATTTTTCTTTTATATTTTTCAGGTAATACTCTGTCCGGATAGGCTTGAATAACCATAACATCAACTCGGGGTACGTAATACATTATTAGTTTTAAATTATTGTATATTCATATGTAAAATTATTTGTACCTGTCTTTCACATCTGTTCTGTGCACAGGTGTTCATTTCTATGTTATTCTATTTCTCGCTAGCTTATATGTTCTATCGTCTGATTTAATTCAAATGTAAATTTAAGGAATAACAATTTATTATGTTAAAGTTTTTTATTTCATTTTTTTCTACCTACAAATGGTTCTTATTCGGTAAAAATATTTTTATTCCTTTTCTTGTTTTTTTATAACTATACAGTATTATAGCTAAGATGGAATCGTGTTTTACTCTATTTCCAATGTATATTACTTACTTTTACTTAATAAATTACTGTTTATTATATAGTATTAATATTGTACAATCCATTTTTGTAAATTTTTAACATTATTTAATGTATTTATAATGTAGTTGGTGCAAAATTATTGTATATTTTATTTTGAGCCTACATATCTTTATCTTATAATATATTATATTTTTATATTATAATTTTATTTTTTTGCAAGTATTGACTCTTAAAAGGCAATGAATAGAAAAGATTGAGAAATCTGAGTAAAGCCATCATTCAAAGATATTTCAGGAATACATTAGAGTTAATTGTAGACATTAAAAAGGTTGCCTTTCTAAATAAAACCGATAGGATTATTCAAGAGAAGTTTTGTAGCTGATGCTGAACATGGAATTAGAAATGAATGGTCTAAAGGTTCAGATCATTTACTGTTATTAAATTATATTATAATCAATGACATCCGTAAATTAAATTGATGCCTACGCCATGGGTACAGGAAAACTTTATGTATAACAGTATCCATGGCATCCAATTACTACAACAATGCACCAGATTATAATTCATGACAAATTTAATAGAAAAATGCATGTATACATTGGTCAAGCTTCCAAAATAGGTAGGCACCAGAAAACAAATTATAATCTTATTATTTGTTCAGGTCTAGAAAATGTTCCGAAGGTTCATGCATAATATTTTTGTTATGAAAAGGCTTATTTTTGATCATATTTTAGCTGCAATTACACCTTTCCCCCCAAAAAAAAAGAACAATGCTTTTTACTTTAGCACTTTTGCTTAGAAATTTCTAATATTCACAGAAAAAGCGAAACGGAGTAGGGGCCTTCATAAAAAAAGTAAATTCTTATTAATATTTCTTTGAAGTTTATAAATAAATAAAATATTATATATCCCAAAATTCCTAATATTGAAATTTAGTTATATTTACAATTCTGAAAATAGCCTATTCTATAATCAAATATAAATGTTTCAGTTTTAAAACTGAAAAAATGCCAAGTAGAGGATTAGCCATGTTTATTTCAAATTTTATATGTAAATATCATTAAAGAGGTATCTCTTTGCTAGGTCTTAAATCAGAACTAATTTAATATTTCTTCATTAATTAAATTAATTGCGTTCATTTAAAAGCAAGAAAGAAGAAAAACTATTTTGGCCAATTTTTCCGTCACATCTATCACTATGTGGAATATGACCCATCGGGTTCGCTAAGCCTTTATTGAAACAATTCCCGGTTTTAAGGGTTGTTAAGTTATAGCAATAGAAAACCTAAATGATTTTTAAGATATCCAAATGCAAAAAACTATTTATTATATCGATTATAATTATGTTATCACTAGTTGGTCAGTGCGAAACATTCTCAGACAACTTTGTTTATGAAGAAATAGCAAAAAAATATATATTTATATGTAGCAAAAGAATATGTAGCAAAACAATATGTATGCAAAACAATATACATAAGTAGTTCCTATGTATTATGTATGGAAGGAATTAATATTTTATCCTTAGTCGATTGCAATATTCCATTAAACGTAATAGGCCAAAATATTTGTACAAATTGTTTTGATAGGACCTATTTTTAAACGCTGACTGGGAAGATAATAAAAGTAATATAGACAAAATAATGCCCCGATCATGGGATATTCTAAATTAATAAAAAAAATGAGCAACCAAATGTCTTTTAACCTGTACCACTACAACCCATAAAGGGTCTGGGGTTCAGTACTATTTAGGGAAAGCACTGTTTCTAGGTCAACGGTTGTGTAAGGAGGTGATTTGACCGAGATCACACTCAACCGCCAGGTTTTCCCCCTTAACTAATTATTTGATTAAAGGAACCCACTTTATAGAGTCTGGGTGTGCCCCAGGAGGGTCTCCCGACCCAGGGTCGCCCCACGGCCAATGAAACAGATAAATAAATTTTCTGCTATGAACCGGGGTTCGAATCTGGGACCTTTAGCATTGGAAGCTCAGTGCCCAACCACTGAGCAACCCCACTCCCTTACCAAATGTCTTTAAGAAATAACAAAGTTAATACATCAGCCGGAGTTCTGCGCATGCGTTAGCCCTAGTTAAACATACGTCAGGTCGTCTCTTATAAAAATCTCATTTATCAGTGGCAGTATACAAGTTTAATGTGAACAATTAGTTTTATCAGTTACATTAACAATTACGTTTGATACTGGACAAAAAAAAAATAAGGTGAGTGATCACTTATTTACAACACAAGAGTGAACAGTGTAAATAGACCTTAGGTTGTAGATAACGGCCAGCCATAAGCTGCAACAGTCGTTAATACCAGTGGGCTAGATCCCTCCGTCGGAGGCAGATCTGTGCTCTCCAAGAGCGCGTCTATATTTTCGTGTTCAATAAAAATTTTTTTTTTTCCTCTCTTCACTTTTATCAATTTTTCTTTTAAAAATAAATATGAAATGCGATATTATCACATGCTAATGTCGAGTAAGGGCAAAAACACTAGGTCCAGGAGCCTGGATACTACAATTAGTTCTCCCATTAAAAAAAGGACAAGGCATTCGAAAAGAAACACTCCACCAGCCACACCAGGGAGCTCCATAGAAGAAGTGGAACCCCAACCTGGCTCCTCACAACAACCCAACAATTATGAGACAACTCAAGCTATGGGTGAAGAATCGCCGTTTTTCACTTCGAATCCATTTGAAGTGCTTTCAAATATAAATAACGAACAAATGGAAGCAGCATCCATCCCCAGAGAACCCAAACCCCCACCAATATTTGTTAGAAATATTAAAAATTTTCAATTGATGTGTAATCAATTGAATAATCTGGTAGGTTCAGGAAAATATTTATGCCAAAGCCGCACCAATGACACTAAGTTAATGCCCGACACTCCAGAAACCTATAGAAAAATCATAAAATATTTATCTGACACCAAGGCTGATTACCACACGTATCAACTGCGTCAAGAGAGGGCGCTCAGGGTCGTTATCAGAAGACTGCACCCATCTACGCCAACAGATGCTATAAAAGAAGAGCTCACGGGTATGGGATTCCATGTTCGCCAGATAGTGAACATATTTAAGGAGGATAGAGAACAGCCTGGAATAAAAAATAAAATACCTCTTCCACTATTCTTCGTTGACCTTGACCGAACACCCGATGTCGAAAACATCTACAAGGTCACACGCCTCTATTATACAAGCGTTGTTGTAGAAAAGCCCTACAGCAAGCGCGACATCGTTCAATGCCATAACTGCCAGGCTTATGGCCATACGAAACGGTATTGTCATCACATTCCTAGATGTGTGAGGTGTGGTGAGCAACACAAAACAGAGGACTGTAGGAAGTCTAGAACTTCACCTGCAATATGCGCTTTATGCCACCAAGGACACCCAGCCAACTACAAGGGTTGTCAAACTTACAAAGATTTGAAAACACGAATGTACGCAACGCCTAGAGAAGAAGGGACATCCAGGCCACCAAGACAACCCTATAGAACAGTGAACGGAAGAGTGTCCTATGCTCAGATGTTCAAAGGAGACACTGTAAACACTCAATCTCAGGCCCTACCACAAGAATCTAAACCTCAAGAATTCACATATCAACCTCAAGACCCATATCCCTCCATCCCTGAACGTAGGTTAAATACTCACACATTCATTCCTCCTCCTTCCAATTCCACTGACCTCACAAGCCTATTGACATCTTTCCTTTCTGAATTTAGATCTCTCATTACCCCCCTTATTTCGCTACTTACCAATGTTATATCCAACCTCATTCCACTGCCAAGAAATCCATAAATGTCCTCAACCAAATTCCTCTCCATTCTCCTCTGGAATGCGAATGGTATTCGGAACCACATCAACGAACTGACAATCTTATTACATGACAAAAACATCGACATAGCACTAATAACTGAAACTCGACTAACCAACAAACGACAAATCAACGTGCCCGGCTACAATATTTATCGAACCGACCATCCTGATGGAACAGCACATGGTGGCACTGCCATAATTATCCATCGATCCGTTTCTCATCATTTGTTTCCCTTACCAAGCCATAATTTCCTACAATCCACAGCCGTAATAATCCAAACACCCCTTTACCCAATAACACTAGTTGCGGCATATTCCCCACCTAAAACACCCATTTCCGAATCCCAAATAATTTCCTTCCTGAATTCCTTAGGACACCACTTCCTCCTAGGTGCAGATCTAAATGCAAAACACCAGCAATGGGGAGCCAGATCCACAAATTCCCGAGGGCGAACATTGCTATCTGCACTTAATTCCCATCGCAGCAACATCCTTTCACCTAATACACCCACATACTGGCCAACAGATCCCAACCGCAATCCCGACCTTCTAGACTTTTTCCTCCACAAAGGTCTAGGATCACTACACTGTTCTATTTCAAGATTTGATGATCTTTCCTCAGACCATAGTCCTCTAGTCCTAACCGTTTCCACATCTCCCATTCCCAAATCATCCCCACCTTCATTTATCAGGGGGCCAGTTAACTGGAACCTTTTCCGTCAAATACTGGAAGATAATATTGACCTCAGAGTTTCCTTAAAAACACCTGAAGACCTCGACGATGCAGTGCATTCCTTCACTACTCTGATCCAGCAAGCAGCTTGGACTGCATCCTCACCTTATCGTCCCAAAAAATACCATAACATAAATCCTTTACCTCAAGAT